TTTAACACAGCCTTCTTTGGCGCTGTTGAGTTGACTGTGATTGACAGTGACCCTGTGAACAGTAGATGTGAAGTGAGCCTTTTCTTGCACCACCGGCCTCAGGATCTCGGACATGATCAAGGACATGCTCAAACTCGCCGTTACAGTGACCCTGTCAGTCCATCTTTTTGCAGGTCTTCCTCTCTGTGGCTAACCCTTCTCCTTTACAAGCATAACATATTTTTCTTTTTTTTTAAAATTAATTTTAATGAAAGTTTACAGAGACTTAGGGTTTCCAGTCATTCATTGTTGCACTTTTCTCCCTCCCCACCCCCTGCCCCCAATTCACTCTTCTCCCTGAAAAGAAAGAAAAACTCTTTCATTGTTATGCAATCCCTTCCCCCAAGTCCACTCCACTGTGCTGCCTTCACTCTGGACTTTTCTAATGACAATACCCATTCATATATCCTTTTTAAACAGTTCTCTCCCTCATCTGTTTCAATGCAATATACATCATTCCTCCCCTCATTTTCTGTCTTCCTTCAACCATGTCAGTCCTGTTTTACGACAGTGGCCCTATGCAATATTTGTCCTTTTGTGACTGAGATACTTCACTCAGCATAATGTCCTCCAGGGTCATCCATTTTGCATAATATTTCTTGAGTTCCTTGTTTTTCAATGCAGCACAATATTCCATTGTGTGAATATACCAGAGCTTCTCTGATAGACAGTTGGGTTGTTTCCAGCTCTTTGCTATTGTGAACAAAGCTGCAGTAAACATGGTTGTGCATATATCTGCTTGGATGTCAGTTATGGTCTCGGGATATATTCCCAGTAGTGGAATTGCTGGGTCAAATGGTATCTCTATTTGCAACTTTTTGAGAAAGCGCCATACCGCCTTCCACAGTGGTTGCACCATTTTACACTCCCACCAAGAGTGAATAAGGGTTCCAGTTTCTCCACAAACTTGCCAGCATTTGATATTTGCTGTTCTGCTAAATTTCTATTCTTCCTGGGGTGAGATGATATTGCATAGTTGTTTTACAAGCATAATATATTTGTGTAAGAATGGGCCCAAGTATATGAGATCAAGTTTTACCATCCTTGCCTCAAAGGAGTATCCTGGTTGCCCATCCTCCAGAAAGACTTGTTTGTTCTTTTGGCAGTTCCTGCGTGTTGGAGAAAAGTCTCAACACCACAATTCAGAGGCATCAATTCTCTTGTTATCCTTCGTCATTGTCTTACTTTCAGATGCTTAGGAAACAACTGAAAATATCGTCACTTGGGTCAGTTCCAACTTCATCATTAAACTGATATTATTGCTCTTCAGCACTTTGGAGAAGTCCTTGTCAGCAGATTTTCCCAAGTGCAACATGCCTGTTGGTTTCTTAACTGCTGGTGCCGGAGCTGTTCATGGGAATTCAAGTAAAATGAAACTTCTGACAACTTCTGTCTTTAAGTTGTTAAAAAATAAAATGATGTTTGCCACACTCAAGTGAAAGGGATATCTTGACTGTTTCAGGCAATATTGCTTTCAGGAACTAAAGGTGTCTCAGTTTCTGTTTGCCTCGGAATAACTAGTTGTTCTTTCTTTCATTTAACAAATACTTCTTGAGCACTGGCTCCATACCAGGCACAGTGCCAGCCCCTGAAAGTTCACTGATGACTAAGATTGATATGGCCCCTCCTCCCACGGAACTGCCAGTGTCACGTGGCAGATGTTAAATAAGTATTCTAGCAGAGTGGTGGGAGACATAATGGGGAAATACATAGGTGGAGTTCTAAATCAGGCATGGAGGCGAGAAGGGTTTGGAAGGAGGGTATCTTGATTATGTGTAGAAGACCAAAGACAAGAGAGTTTTTAGAGAATTTGAAGAACTGGAGTGTCTGTCATGTGATTGGAGGAGCCACAGGGGCTTTGCTTGAGTTAAATAATTAAATTGATGTAGAAGCTATAAATTTATGCAATACAGAGATTCCTGTGAAGCTGGGACAAGTTATAAGCTTTTTGGAGTTAATTAGGCAAGAGATGGTGTTGGCTTAAATTGGAACGTATAGTTGTTGTTATATGCTGTCAAGTCACTTCCTACTCCTAGCAACCCTATGTAAACAGCCCTATACTCTGCTCTAACCTGTGCCAATTTTATTGTCTCTGACACAGCTAACCTCATTACACCAGTCACTGAATCAATCCATCTTGTTGAGAGACTTCCTCTTCTGCACTATTCCTCCACCCTCCTAAGCATATCATTCTCCAAGGACTGGTCCCGCCTTGCAACATGTCCCAAGTATGTCAGACAAAGCTTCAGAATCTTTGTCTCCAAAGGGTAGCCCCGTCTCACCTTCTTTAGGATGAACTTGTTTGGTCTTTTAGCAGTCCATGGTATATTCAATACTCTTCTCCAGCACCACAGCTCAAAGGCATCAACTCTCCTCCTATCATCCTAGTCATTGTCCAGCTTTCTTATGCACAGCATGTATTTGCAAAGACTATGGCCTGCATGAGATGCACCTTCATCTTCAGATTGGCATCTTTGCTCTTCAGTATTTTGGAGAGGTCTCTGACAGTAGACTTTCCTAATGCAATTCATCTTTTAAATTCCTGGCTGCTGGTTCCGAGAGTGTTGATTGTCGAGCCAAGCAAACTGAAGCTGTTAACAATCTCAGTCTCTTCACCATTCATCATGATGCTGCCAATCGCCCCAGTGGTGAGAATCTTTGTTTTCTTGATATGGAGCTTCAATCCACATTGAAGGCTGCAGTCCTTGACCTTCTGCAGCAAGCACTTCAGATCCATCTCAGTTTCAACAAGCAGGGTTGTGTCATCTGCATAACGCAAGTTGTTGATGAGTCTTCTTCCAATCCTCCAATCCTGATGCCACATTTCTCTTTGTACAGCCCAGCCTCCCAAATGATCTGTTCTGCATATAGATTGAAAAGATATGGAGATAGGACACATCCCTGATGCACACTCTTCTCAGTTTTGAACCATGTATTGTTTCCTTGATCTGTTCTGACAACTGCCTCTTAGTCCATGTATAGGTTTTGCATAAGCACAGTCAAGTGTTCTGGGATTCACATTCTCCTCAGAGTCAGCCACAGTTTGTTGTGATCTATACAATCAAATACCTTTGCATAGTCAATGCAACACAGATAGACATTCCTCTGGTATTCCCTGCTTTTATCCAAGATCCATCTAACATTAGCTACAATATCCCTAGTACCACGGCCTCTTCTACACCCAGTCAGCACATCTGGCAGTTCTCTGTTGATGTGCTGTTCCAGTCACTTTTGGATAGTTTTCAGCAGAATCTTGCTTGCGTGTAACAGGAATGATAATTTCCACACTGTTGGGTCACCTTTCTTTGGAATGGGGACAAATATCTTCCAGTCGGTAGGCCAGGTGGTTGTCCTCCAGATTCCTTGGCATAACTTGATGAGCGCTTCCAGAGCAGTGTCTGTTTGTCGAAATATGTCAGTCAATATGCCTTCACTTCCTGGGGCCTTGTGTTTAGCCAGTGCTTTCAGAGCAGCTTGATCTTCTTCCTTCACCACCACAGGCTCTTGCCCATATGTTGTTTCATTAAATTCTTCTGTGTCCACCAATTCCTTTTGGTACAGTGACTCTGTATACTCTCCATCTTCTTTTAATACTTCCTGCATCATTTAATATTTTGCTCAAGTCATCCTTAAGTATTGCAACTTGAGGCTTGAATTTGTTCTTCACTTCTTTCAATTTAAGAAATCCTGAGTTCTGCCCCTTTGATTTTCTGACTTGAGCTATTTGCACATTTCATTATAATGCTTTACTTTGTTTCCCTGTGCTGCCCTTTGAAATCTTCTGTTCATCTCCTTAATTTCTTGATTTCTTCCCTTTGCTTTGGTTTCTCAGTGCTCTAATGCAATATTCTGAGTTTCTTCTGACATCCATCTTGGTCTTTTCTTCCTCCTCTGTCTTTGTAATGACCTCCTGCATTCTTACTGGAAGAGATTCTTGATATCCTCCCACAGCTCATCTAGTCTTTGCTCATCAGTGTTCGAGGCCTCGAACCTGTTCTTCCTGAGATGGTTTTGAAATTCATCTGGGATAGACTCAAGGTCAAATTTTAGTTCCCGTTGATTTAATTTTCCTTAGTTCAGCATATGAGTAGTTGGTGGTCTGGTCCACAATTAGCACCTGTGCTAGTTTTCACAGCTGATATTGAGCTTCTCCAACGATTCTTTCCACAGATGTAATTAATCTGATTCCTATGCATACTGTCAGGTGACATACATGTGTATAACCTGCATTTGAAGCGCTTGCTGCAGAGGGTCAAGGACTGCAGCCTCCAATATGGATTGAGGTTCAATGTCAAGAAGACAAAGATTCTCACCACTGGATCAATTGGCAGCATCAGGATGGATGGTGAAGAGATTGAGATGGTACACAGCTTTAGTTTGCTTGGCTCCACAGTCAACACTCTTGGCACCAGTAGCCAGGAAAT